AAGGGGCGTTTGGGGAGAGCGCCTCCAAGCAGCCGGTCCTGGCCTGCCCGGCGTGCCGTGGGGCTGCGGCGTCCTTCCAGCCCTTCCCCAGGGCGCAGACGCCGGGCGCTGAGCCCCCGCGAGCGGGGCTGAGCAGCAGTAAACAAACACGGCTTGTAGTGATGCTGATGATAGGAAATTGCAGTGGTTGATTTTGCAATAAACGTTAATAATACAGAGGCTCTTTGGGGCAAAGCACTGGCTTCCTGGTTGGTTGGGTGTTTTGGAAGATGGTTTTTCCAACAAGAGCGGCATAACGCAAGAGGTTCTGAAAAACTTCAGCTTTTCCCGTTGCTGCAGCAGAAGTACTCGGAGGTCTTGCTCCGAGCTAGACACGGACATAATCCTGCTGCTGGCGGGTGCGGAGAGGCCCCTCCGGGCTGTTCTCCGGGGTTGATTTGCATTTCTCGGGGCTTCGTGAGATGCACCGTTCTGGGAGGAGAAGACGGGCCCGAAGGGCAGGAGCTCGCCAGAAGCCGCTTGCTGGACAGAGTCGCGTTTGCTGGGGTTCCCGTCTCGCGCGCCGCTTGCTAGCAGATGGCCTCGAGCGTCTGTCGGCGGCGCCTTCGCAGCCTCCCTGCCAGGTCTGACGCGGTGGTTGCAGCAGCTCCAGGGATGCCCGGGAAAACCATCTAGGTGGGCAACCGGGGCCGGTCCTGGAGCGCAAGGCAGGCAGCAGGGCGCTCCCCGGCGTCATGCATGCACAGCCCACAGCTCGGTGGCTGCAGGTACTAAAAAAGCAAGGCAACCCTAGGTCGTGATCTTCTGCCGAGGCATACTACCGCCTGAGAGGTTGCGGCACCAAACCCAATAGCTTGGCTCGGGATAAATTTTTTGCTTTGAGCCAAAGCCCGAACAAAATCTTTTGAGCTGGTGGAAACTTTGTTGGGCTGAAACGGTTCAACTTTTCATTTTGAAAGGACTGGCTGCCTGAATACTGATTTTTCTTTTATAACTCACAAAAGAAAGAAGGAAAAGTCAAATCAAAGTAGAACAGGATGACTTTATTTTAACTGATATTTGGGTTGAAGCTGATTTAATCCTTCACCCTGTTTCTCTCAAGCGTTTTATTTCTTGCAAATTTTTTCCAGTCTTAGCTTTCTTCCAAATTGGACCAAAGATGTCCAAACCCCGCAGTGAGTTTGAGTCCTGCAGCGCCTTTACATGAAATTGGTTGTTACTGTGAGGAGCAATTACTGCAGGAACCAAATAGGTTTGACCGCTTTCCTTTGCTCTGGTATTAAATGAAAGAGCAGGAAAACTTACCTATTTAGCCAGCAGCGGGAAACCCAGTTTGCCTTCGTTTGCGCCAGCTCTGTCACTGTGCCGCAGGCACCTGGGGGTGCTGCTGGGGCTGCACGTACAAGCACCCGGGGCTCTGCTCGCACCGGCCTCCTGGCCGAGGGGAATGGCATGGCTTTCCCCGCTCGCTACGGGCTGCTCTCCCTCTCTCCCAGGTGGACCCTTACCTGCCTTACGAGTACACCTGCGAGGGGATGCTGGAGCGGATTCACGCCTACATTCAGCACCAGGTCAGCGAGCTTTGCTCTGCTCCCGGGGGAGCACTCGTCCTCGCGGCGCGGAGAGAGATGGGAGATGGGGCTGGGGGGTGTCATGGACCGAGAAAGCCTGGGGGGTTGGCTGAGGGTGCTGGGAGGTGCTGGAGCCGCAGCAGAGCGCAGGCGTTTCTGCTGCAGGGAGCAAGGCAGCAGTGGGAGAAGAGCTGCTGGAGGATGCCTCTGGCTCCCACGGCCAGAGATACCCATGGGTGCTTGCAGGCCAGGGCCGGAGACCTCAGCCTGAGGCCCACGCTCAGCAGCCCAAGCCCTTGCCTGGGCTTCCCAAGCTTGCCCCCGCTCGCTGACCCCATGTCTTCTCTCTCGCCTAGGATTTCTGCACCATGCCGTCTCCTCCTGCGCCTCCCAAGGCCAAGAGCCCTGCTATGCAAAGCCCCCCGAGCCCGCTGGCCCTGGCCCCGAACGCCACGCACCTGGTGTGGTACCTGCCAGCGGCGCGGGCTGGTCTGCGAGCCCACCTTCTTCAAGTTCCTCAACAAGAAGGAGGTGTTTCTCCAGTGAGTGTTGCCCTTCTCGCGCGGCGTGTCCCAGCCTCCCGGGCTGGATGGGAAGGCAAGGAGGGGGGTGCGGGACGATGCTCCCCTGTTCCTCCACGCTGGCCGCTTGGTCGTGTGTCCCCAGCACCTGGTCGCCTCGTGCCCCCCCCGGTGAAGGGCTGCCAAGGTGCCCTTTGCGCCCAAGGCAACGTACGCAGGGTGCTAGCTGTAAAGGAGCCTGCGGCTTGCATGCGTCGGCCTTGAATACCTTCTCACTTCAAAAACCAGCCACAGCTTTTTCAGGCACGTTTCCCTCTGTCTCCCACCCCGTTTCTCTCCTCCTTGTGCATGCTTGCTCCCTATCTCTCTTTTTTTATATCTTTCTCTATAAAACTGCATTTTGAACACACAGCAGTGAAGTTTTAATAGAGTATAAATCTGCCACCAGACTCCGGGCTGCTCTGTGGACAATTAAAATGTGAATATTACCGTTTCTGTCACGCTGGTCAGGCAGGCAATTTGAGTCCTAGTGACGTTTTTATATGATAAGTTAGAGCTGGAGCTTGGATTTCACTCTCTCCGCTTCTTCCCCATTGAGGGCCACACCCCCCCCCCGCGCCACACATTAAAATGAGCCATTTCAGGGAAATCGCTGGTTTACTTATCGGTTGAGGTGGGAGTTTGCCGGAGAGGGCTGAGGGGTGCTGAGACACCCTGGGCACTGTGCTGAGCCGAGGCAATTCTGGCGCTCCAGCTCCATCTGCAGACACAAGCACGGATTGGAGGGAGCGAGAGAGAAGCTGAGATTTGTGCCGTGCGCGTTTCTGCTTCTCCTCGGGGGAGATTGCTGACGCCGGCCTAACCCTGTTCTGCCAGCTAATCCCTGCTAGCAGTGGAAATGTGGACCTCCAACGTGCACTTCCATTTGACTTTTGTGTCCTTCCAGGGGCCAAAAACTGCTCTTGGAGGTTCCCACAGAAAGCAGATGGAGCTCTGTCTGTTGGTCAGGGGGAAATATGAAAGATTTTCATGGCAGTGGTTGAGCTTTGCATGTGATTTCCTGAGTCATTTGCATCCCGTGGGAGGGTTGGGGTGTTCCCTGAGTTGCACAGTTGAGTTGCCAGGGTCACCCATGTCTTGCATGGTCTTTCAGAGTGATCACAGGCATTCACGTCCATGCCAAACACAGTGCTTGCGGTTCCTGGTACAACCAGCAAAGAGCTGGCCCACCGCTTGGCAAAGGAAGCTCTCCAGGAAGGACAGAACAGCATTAAAACCCTTTAATGAAATATTTGGCAGCCCTTCCTGCCTTGAGAGCAGGTGGACACGGCACAACTGACCCACGCCTGTGTTTGTTCCCAGGCTCAGTATCGCCTGCGACAGTACAGAGTATGAGATGAACCATCTCTACCCGGCGGTGGCTGAGAACGTCCACGAGTGCTACCTCCAGAAGGAGCCATTGCTGTTCAGCTGCGCCGGCTATAACACCAAGTACCGGCGGCTCTGCCCGTGCCGCGACTACCGGAAAGGACAAGTGGCTCTGTGCAGGGACTGCTTGTGACTTGGCCCTGGCAGCGGGTGGTGCAACACGCAACGTGCAATGAGTGGCTTTTTCTCAAAGCTTCTGCAATAGCCTAGGAGGCGAGACGGGTCCCTGCCGTGGGAAGACTCGTGGTGAGCCGTGGATGTCAGACTCTGTGGGTTGTTTCGTCTGCCAGTTGACTGTGAATGCCCAAGTCCTGACGTTTCTTTTTGTTTCTTCTCGAGGCGCATCATCCTTCCCCATCCAAACCCACCTGGACCGTGTTGGCGCTGGGACAGGGTGGCTGGGAGAGGGGAGGTGG